AAATTTTGCATAAAAGTAGCAAAAGTGAAAGAATTCTTTATGCAATGAAAGAAATATATCTCAATTACTGGCTGTAATTGATAAAATCGGCCTTGTAGGACTTTATAAAACCATACATCCTGACCATAATAGACAAACATCTGTCAGCATTGTAGATATCAACAGGGAGAATCTTGTCCTTTACTAATTGGAAATTTTAGCTCAATAGCCTTGGTCTTTTTTAAGCCGTTGTGCATATATTTCTTTTTGTCATCGATTGGCTTTGAAGAGCGATGAGCAGGTAGATATTTTTTATTTCTTTTTTGCTGTTTTACTTTTTTCGATCCACCACTTTATGGTGATGATTTTTTTTGTCATATCCTTTCTTCCCTTTGTTTTAAATATTTTTGTATGCATCTATGTATACGTTATATATGGGATGTTGAAAAAATGTTCGGTTCGATATATATATATATATATATATATATATATAATGACATTTTACACGTATGCACAGAAAGGCGGGCGCACTCACAAACACACTATGAAAGGAAAAAAAAATTAAACATGCACTAGTGAAAAGTCTATATATAAAAACGAGAAATATAAACAGTCAATTGCTGAGCTCCCTGGCTAGTGGACAGTGATTGCTGGAGAGTCCGTCTGCGAAACTCTGGATGCTGAAGGTAACACCAGTCAGCTAAGTGACAAACTTTATATTTGTATTCATTCTCTCATATATATATATATATATATATATATATATATATATATATATATATATATATATATATATATATATATATATATATATAATTACGAGTCCATTGCAAACAGTTTTTTCCTAAACGACTGTGATTGTGCTATACTTTGCCTTAGCATCAAAGTCTCCCAGTTCATCTCTTCATCTTCTATTTAGTCATCTCCTCCTATTCGGTTCGTTACTTATTGATCATTAATCGAATAACCTTTCGCTCCATCTTATATCTTTTCCTTTTGCTGTTCGCTGCATTTTTGTAATTTAATCATTTTTATATTTGATTCCTGTTGGCCTTTTTCTGCCTTTTACTCATTCCTAACAATGCTCTTTTCATTGATCTTTACCCAATTCTGAGCTTTTCAACTGAATTTTTTTAATTATCGTGTTTCACGCCCGTACGCCAAAGCTTTCATTATATGAAATCATTATACACCTTTAAAAATTTATTGGTAAGATGCTTTTCATTATGCCTTTACTTCTTATTATTTCATATATTTCTGTGTGTAGGTCACGATACAAACGGTTGGCTGTAGAGAAGATACGTAATAGCAGCAGCTGACGGGAGTTTTTATCAGGCCGTGTTTTCAAAAAAAAATAAAACTCTCCATTCTCTTTTTTCCTTTGTTAATGAGTGCGGCCACTGAACCCTAACGGGACTTTTCTTCTTACAAAAATGGAGACATTCAGACTGGGATTCTGTTGCTAAGAAAACCCGTACTCTTTTCCAAGGCCATATTTTTCTTTATCCTATTTTATAGAGCAAATATTTCATAAAATTTAAAAATTTCGTGTATTTTTCTTTCTTTTCCGTTTTTTTTTCTGTATCGGTTTGTTGAAAATATTTTGGTTGGTATAGCTATCTCTTTAGTAGTTGTACATGACACTTCATATACAAAAGGGTGTTGAAATCTTCTAGGTTAGACAAAGAAGGGTTTTCCCATTCAATTCTTACACTTAATCATTTGGTTTATGTTAGTCGATCAGATAGAACTTTTCAATGCTCTCTCTCATATAATTCAATTCCAAAAATCAAACTTTTGTCAAAAATGGTATGATTATGTATATAAGATTTTCTTGGGATGGAATATGCAATTTTACTGCCTGACGATACCTAATTGGTAGAAACCACGGTAGCAGAAAGTTTGATTTACTAAATATTTGATGTCTTATCTCTCTCTCTCTCTCTCTCTCTCTATATATATATATATATATATATATATATATATATATATATTCTATTAAAGTTTCATGTTTTATATAAAACATGAAACTTTAATAAAATTTTAAAATACGAGGCTCAGTCAAAAATTTCCGCACTCATAACACACATGTTCAGGCGAAGTGCGGATAATTTTTGACTTAACCTCGTATTAAAAGAAAAAATCAATTTAAATATTCTTGAGGCCATCAAAGTCTGCGTCAACTAATCCTGAGGGAAAAGCTCAAATTAAAAAAAAAACCTATTCTTTTTATTGACTTTTTTTTTCTCAGTCATTTCATCGTTCCAGTTGGTTTACTTTGTAAATTAAATTATATTTCTTACTGGGAGGAATTGTGTTCATTTTCTTCATAATCAAATGAACTTGAAGGTGTCTGCAACTGTTGGCTATACCTTGTATTTTACCATTCTACTTCGAGGCGAATGCGCCATAAAAATGAAATGAATTTGACAAGAGACAAATTCCAATAGACAATGAAAGAACTTTATTAATTGAATTCCCCTCAGGATCTGATTGCAGACTTTCACGGTTTTGAGGACATTTAAACTGATTATTTTTTCATATTTTCAAAATAATAATATTATTAATCTCATATTTATATGTTTTTTTTGCGAAATATTTTCCTATTTTTATTTTTTAATTTTACAAAGTAGATTAAGTTTAATGAAAGATTTGAAATCCTGATTTTGCCTGTTGCGATTGGCTATTCTGTGAATGGTCAGTTTTTTAATATCTGTTTGTGCGTAGGTCTGTCTGTCTGTCAGCTTTTTTCTCCTATGTTCGTTCTTAAATCTACCCGCTTCTTTTTCCCTTTACAACAAACTTTCATTTTCTCTCGTTTTGCCTCCATGTCGATCTTTTTCGCTGTTTCTTCTCTTTATTTTTATTTTTTATTTTTTGTCGTTTCCGTTTTCCTCTTTCTTTTTTTTTTCGTTTAATTAATTCTCCGCCTTTTGCGAACAAAACATATTTCTGTGACTTTTACTTTATCCGGTGAATTACTTTTGTTTGGCTATTCACTAATATTTTCCCGCCCACACGTGAGCGCGCATCCATGATCTGACAAACGTTATTCCCGTGAATAGGTACACGCACACATACACATTGCTTATCTATAGCACTCACTAACTTCACACTTACTCATATGGCTATACGCACTCACAAAGATGTTTATTTCTCTCTCTCTCCGTCTCCATTTTCCCTTTTCATCCCTCTGTCTGCATCTCTCTCTCTCTCTCTCTCTCTCTCTCCTCATAAAAATGCTTTGTTTACGTTCGGATAGGAAACTTAATAGAGATGTACATTTCGAGAATCGAAAAAAAATCTGTATTTGAAAGCTCTATTCGAGCCTTGCTTGGCCACCAGGCATTACGGTGTCGAGAGGTCAAAACACATCAGATCTAATGGCGGTTTACTCTAGGGGAATGTAGGATCGAATCCTGCCGGAGAGCGTATATTTTTATAATAAGATTTCATGAATATTCAGGCCAGTAGTCGAAAAGAAATAATTATTATGCTGTTTAAGAAACAAACGGAACATTTACTCAAATATGGGTATTCACTAAAAATAAGGTTTAAGTAATAACATATATATCATGATTGGTTTGATAAATAAGCTCTTCAGTCTTATAAAAACAAGTTTAACACCAGGCAGCATAATGAAACTGATGTGAAAATGAGATAAATTTATTTCACTTCAAAAGGTTGATTTATAAATACTGCATTTTCCGTATGCTAAGATGCTACAAGTAGTAAGACGCGCCCTATAATTAGCTACGTATTTCGGGGAAGACATTTGAGTATTTAATAGCTTATCGTACTAACTTTAATAACCTATCAGTTTGCCAACACGATTGGTTTGTTTCAATAGTACACAAAGCGCGGTAATCAGGCTGGTATTCTTTGTGTACATCTGAAACGTAACTGCCAGCTTGTATTACGGGATATACTCACAGGACGCAATCTATTTGACGAGTTTGACTGGTTGGCAGAGCCAGAATAAAGAGGGACAGTAAAAGGGTCAGAAGTTACTTGGAACAACAAAAGACAGGATCGCTCATATCGTCAAGGACATGGCATATAAGATTATTTTGAGAATCAGCACTAACATTAATTATCATAATTATTTTAGATGCGTATATAAGATTACAGCGATATTTTTTTTACCTCTCTATAATACCTTATCTCAAAACAAATGAAAAAAAAAAAAGAATACTGCTGGTTCGATAACTTTTAGTGTAACAACAACAAACTAAAACAAATATGGGTCAAGTGTAGTTGTGTTTTAGTTATTAGACCTAAGCATAAACAAGTTTAAACTCTTGTACTAATCTATATGTTATAACAAAACTGATTCTCTGTCCGTTACACAATGTTCGTGTGATTTTTGCATACGTGTATGCATTTTATATGAATACGTCTGTGTTGAGCGTGAGAGACTTACACTTGCTTGTGCTGTTTAATGTATATATAACACACGAACACACACACACAATTTGACCATGTCTGTAACAAGGCATTGCAATGATACATACCCTGTCCACTCAGTCTGGACAACAACTAACCTGAGTTGAACAATAAAATCGTAAAGTTGGAGAAAAGAAATTAAATTTAAATTTTTTTTCTTTAAATATTGTATAAACACTTTTAGATTTGTCATTGAATTAAAATATATATGCACACACGCAAACATACATAGACTCAGGTTGAATGAAATTGAAATTAATATCTGTCTCATGAGGAATCACTTCATTTTTTGGCTTGGCAACAATCTTTGGGTAACAGGAAAAAAGTATAAGTTGACATATATATATATATATATATATATATATATATATTGATTTATAGTCATTTTATGTCTCCTGTGTTTAAACAGAATATATTTTGTAATAAGTGCAGTATCTTAAATAGACAAACAATTTAAATTTGACCGTCAGTTCTTGCATAAAAATGAAGAAACTCGAGTACTGGTCAAAATCGTAATTTGGTTGTGAAACGAGAATAGTGGATTGAAATTGTTATGTCTCTCAGAAACCACTTACCTCTTCATTCAGGAAACAGAATAATACTGACACAAAGAAACCCTGCAAAGAAATAAAACAAACATTTTATACTCGCATATTCTATTAACAATGAAATTTATGACAATAATTTTTATTCATACGATTTTGACTCGTGAAATATCCAAGGGTGTTGATAATTAAGGTTATCCATTATCTCATGTCTTCTTTCATTCTCACCTCTATCCTTCCCAATCCCCATTACTCGCCCACTGTCTTAGATGAATGGTATACGAAATTAGATTAGTTTCATATGTGGAAAAGGAATACAAAAATATGTTCTGTTGAATTTCTTTTTTTTTTACTCTCTCCATAAACAATTTTAATATATCGGATTTTTTTTAATGCTTTTCCATTCCTACAAACATTTTCCATTCCTTTAAACATTTTCACTCATTGTCACTTGATATGCAGCAAACAAGTCCGTCTTTCTTTCATCTCCATCCTCCCACTCTATCTCTATATATGTTTTTTTTTCCTACCTGTTTTCGTTTTCTCCAGTTTTACTCCTTCACACTCTTTCTTTCTTCCTGTCTTTCCAAGACCTTTCTCTTATTATCTAGGTTCTCAGCCGGAACGCGTAACTAATTACAGCTGAAAAGCGACGTTTGATCGCGTAGATATTATTACACTATGATCCGGCGTAGAAAAATATAACAGTCGTATATACAAACAACAATAATAATCTTATTATAATTCTGCTTGTCGCTCCCTTTGTTAGCGCGCACGTTACGTCCTGCCAATACCTCATAAATAATGGACTATTCCGTTTTGATCGCGAGGAAAGACGGAAAAGACCTATCAGGAACACTACTTGGTTTCAGTGAGAAAATGAAAGAAATATAGGAAGATAGAAGAAATAACACTTTCATGTGTTTTAACGTTTGTTTCAGTGAAATGGAAAGTCAATATCAAATATTTTCATTTGTACCCACTTACTACCTTAAATAACATCCAACTGTCATATTTATGGTCGTTGTTGCAATATTTTGTTAAGCTTAAATATTTAACGATGGGCTAGAGGAATTTCTATGGATATTTTATTGTCGAAGAACTCGCCATGAGCTTATTCAATCATTAACTTAATTAAAATAGGAAAACCGTAAAATTTTCACTGGTATTTCTCGTAGTAGTAGTAGTAATAATAATAATGGTATTGTTCTTTTATATTAAGAATTCATAGGCTGACAATTCTATATATTACATCATTGGTCTGCTTTTAAATAATCCGAAGGCATTTTACATTTTTTTCACTGTTTTTTTTCCTTGTTTATTATTAATAGTTGAATGAAGACAATTCTCACTACTCCTGTGATGTCATTACCTGCCACTTCTGTTCGGCTGAGGGCCAAGTATTTAAATGGTGAGCAGATGAATGACGTCAGAAGTAAGTTCATTTGGTGAGTAATGTAAAAGTTAGTGTAAATGACCTATACTGAAAGTACAAATTAAAGGGCTAGTATGGTACAAATACATGCACGAGTAACAAGTGGTGTCCCGTTCACTTTGAGAATGCTTTATTATCAATCCATTCCAAATTTAGCGGCGAAAAGAACAAACGGTCGAATTTCCAATATTTATCTACGAATATTTGCACTATGCACCCATGATTTGTTTTCTTCTGTAGAAGACACTATTGATTTGTACTTACTTTCATATCAATCATACTTATTATAAAACCCAGGTTGTGTGTGTGTGTGCGCGCGCGCCTGTACGTTTATATATTGGATCGGATTTCCTACATTTTTCAACCGATTTCAACAAAACTTCACTGGACTACATAAAATTACCTCGCGGTGGTTCTGACAGCGCCAAAAATTGGAAAAACAATTGTTTTCCCACGAAATCAATTTGAAAACACAATTAAGAGGCATCGCTTTCGCGGAATGAAAGGGGAACAACTCATATCGAGTTATACTTATTATAAAACCAAGGTTGTTTGTGTGTGTGTGTTCGTTTATATATAGGATCGGATTACCTACATTTTTCAACCGATTTCAACAAAACTTCACTGTTTTTTGGCAGGTAGTGTTTCTTATTGTCGTGCACACTTTTTTCTTTATTTTTACATTCAGAATGCTTTAAAAATTCAATTTACAAGACAATTGTTTATAATAAAATTCTATTCAATCGGTAGGCTCATAACGATTGAAAACAATGTTTTGTTTGAGTTTGGATTTGACCAATTCGTAAAAAAAAAAAAAAAACTAATTAAGACATGTGTGTCCGTCAACCTTAAACAATAATCTTTGTCAATTTTATTTTTCAGTCTTTATGATGGTCGATACTTGATCTATCTCTTACTGTTACATCCCCGGGCAACGCCGGGCTCTACTGCTAGTAGTAAGTAAAATAGATGCATTTTTTCGGAAATAATTTTGCGATTGCGTTGTAATTATAAAATATAAAAAATTTGTGTTATTCACAAATGCATAACACTATATATATAATATGTGCGCGTGTATAACACTATATTTACAGGGAGAGTGACAAACATTGCATTTTATATATGTAGACTTTTTGGAGATTATATCAGTCATATATTATATAATAAAAAGCCGCATTCAATTTTAAAAAAAATAATTCTTCTTAACTTTGTTCCTTTTCATATTTAATATTGTTTCGGTTATCCCATTCTCTGACCTCCTTCAGGTGACTGTATCCGGTCTAGAGTAATTTTACTGATTTTCTTTTTCTGGCACGTGTCTTCGGACGTATGGCCTCCTCTTTGTTGTTATCACAATGTTTCGACTCTTGTGCCCTCCGGCCATCTTCAGGTGTCTACTGATTCGAGTAACCTTCAGGGAATTACTAACCCAAACATTTATTTAATCTACGGGATTAGATTGTTCTAGTCCCGCTCTCCATGTTTAGTGATATATCGCCCTGTTCATTATTTCGTCCTGCTCAGTTATTGCAGTTTCTACCACTGAATTATGGAAAACTCTCCCCAGTCGCCCCCAAGAACAATCATGTCTGTAGTTCACAACTGGATGGATGGGTTCTCCTGTTGAGAACTACGAGTGAGGGTTCAGTAAATTATTTTAATGAATAACCTGCAGAAGTGAATTATTTAAAGTGGTCAATTGGCCGTGTCCTGCAGTGCTTGCTCTCTCCATTACAGCACCATATCCAGTACTGGCGCACCGTTTGCCACATATCAGATGATGCTACAATGAATTTGAAAGACTTTATGAATGAATTTTTAGTTTCCTAGATATGTTAGCCGTTGACTCCTATAAGAAGTTCATCGACATTTTTCAGAACTCTTCAGAGTTTCCTTCTCATAGACTGGTTGCCAACCAAGACTATAGGATCAAGTCTGTCTTGTTATGGATAAAATAGAGATTGGGGCCTATATTTTAAGTTGGAAAAAATCCATATATATTTTAAAGAGAGAAAAAGTCGCAAACGTTTTTGATTATAATGTGGATTTTTTTTGTGTTATTCACAATGTGGATTTTATACTTCATTCTATATATTTTGCTACATGCGTTTCGAGTCTTGTGACCTTCATCAGGCGAAGAATGGTTATTTCCACATATTATTTAAAGGAATTAATTTTTTCTGTTAAGTCTTTTAACCTTTGATTTTTATGTGTAGTAGTAGTCATTTGCGGCTTTTTCTCTCTTTAAAATCTTCACTTTTCTCTCGTTTGAACAACTATAACCTTTCCCTTATATATATATATATATATATATATATATATATATATATGGCAAGACACTATCAACTTACTTGAAAGGATATTAAAATGGCCGAGATTATGTTATAAATATACTCAGTTTCCTGACCTTCTTCTGGGCGTAGGGGCATAATGAAATAATGAAGCCCCAGTAGGGGAATGAGAATCAGTGTAGCCCGGACACCACGGCTGAAAAATAAGTAAATATGAAAACTCTATGAATAATTAGAATAGAAACAAGTATAGATTAATGCTTACGTTAGAAAATTAACAGGAAATGTTTGCAATAAATAAAAAAAAAAATAAATAAAAATAAAAAAAAATAATCTACAGCGAGCAATCAGGGGGTTATATTCACGAAGAGTAGTAAGACATTTTACATACACTTATACATGCTCCTGTCTAGACAGAGGGAACCGCTTATAGTGATCATTTTGGGGATATACTCTTTTAAATAATAATAACCTTTTATAATAATGTGTTATTTTAATACATTTATGTCTATGTAGAGAGGATCGCTTATTATGATCACTTTGGGATAGGGTCGTTTAGATATAACGTTATATAAGCAAGTGTAAATGGATATAAATCCGACAGAATGAAGAAATTTTGAAAAAACAAACAAAAATCCTTAAATGTAGTTAAATGAAAGAAATGTCGACGTCTGACGTTTCGGTTTATTAAACCTTTTTCAAGACAATATTCATCAAAATACAATTCAGTTCAATATGACAAATACGATGGACATAAAAACACAAGTCTTATTCCGAACAGATAACTGAAAATTTTTAATAAACCGAAACGTCAGACGTCGACATTTCTTTCATTTAACTACATTTAAGGATTTTTGTTTGTTTTTTCAAAATTTCTTCATATAACGTTATAATAACGTATTATTTTATATTGAAAGGAAGCCGCTTTTTCTCATCTATTTCGCTTTTTTAAAATGAGCGACTAGTAGATTAAGAAAATGACATTAAATTTGTACAATTTACATTTAAGTTCACCGATTCATAATCCTCTATAAAGTCACTGTTATAAACAATTTTACATTATCAAAATACCTGAAACTTTCATTTATGTTAAGCGAATGATTTTTAAATTCATTTTAAATAAATATTTTATCGACGATCGATATTAATAACAATAACAGTTTACTAAAAATATTCATAATTATAATAACCGGCTTCTTCTGTAACGATAAGAAAGAAATATTACCTCGTCTGTTGATAATGGTCTGTGTTGCCATCCCGTAATTTAGAAATGAGAATCCGTAGAATATTTGCACCCAAAGCGAGGCTGACCTGGAAGAAATGAATATGATTGAGACCAGAAGACAATAATCTCAAGAAAACTATTCTGAAAGTACGAAGTTAAATGTATTTCACAAATTAATGTTTTTCTTTCCTTTTCTTTACTAAGAAATTCCGTTTGGTTCCCTGAAGACAATTACAAGAAACGAGGCAACGAAACATGGCTGAATACGAATAAAATATTGGCGTTTATCTTGGAATTAACAAGAATGAAGATCATCGTGATGGTCATTATCAAGAGTGAAAATTATTATAGCCTAGAGGTTATAAATAATTACTGTTCAAATGTCAGACATTTATGATAAAAATAGTAATTACATTTGACTGATACGTCGATGTTCTACAAGAGTCAGGTTGGAGAAATACCGAAGCATGTTAGTGAGCCGGCCTTCAATTTCATGAATGGTTGCAAGGGATATATATATATATATATGTGAGGAAATTTGGTTTCACTGGTTGTTTAAAGTGTAGCTCTTATTAAACCACACTTAAAATTTGCCACTGGATAGTGAAAAGAGGATATTACAGTTTTTATTATATAAAAAAACTTTATTTAATGACTTAGATTTTAGCAAAGGATACATCCTGTGAATAATAACAGCCATATATATCTAGGTGTATAAATAAATAGCAAAGTGGATACTGAGGTCGAAACCGAGTGATGACAGTTTATTTTATGCTTAATCAGCATATATAAATAACCGACCCGCCACACAATACACATGGCCTGAAGATTGCATTCAAGCATGAAACCGACCATCGGCACCGGTTTTGGCCTTAGTGTCCACTTTTATATCTACATATGCTCTGTCCCTGATATTGAGTGCTTTTACCTATAAATACAGCATACCTTAAAACTATATTTCTATTTCTCATATATATATATATATATATATATATATATATATATATATATATATATATTATAAATTAACTGATTTAAAATATGGTCAGTTAATTTATAATATTTATGCTCTGTAAATTTACATTGAGCACTATTTTGTAAAAATAAAATATCTATAAGAACACCGGATTATATATCTTACTGTTCTTTCTGTATATATATATATATATATATATATATATATATTTGAGAGAGACTAAAGTCAGCAGTATTTCATATTGAACGGAATCTCCAGGCCATGTGTGGTGGGACGAATATATATGCTGGACAATGGTGCATTATGGGTAGCAAGATCATGTATTTCCGGTTTACTGTATTATCCCAACGGTTATTAGATTGGCGGCTATAGTTATATTCTAAAGGCTATTGTATAGTGTTGTTTGTAAATTTTTAACCCATTATTTATTATTGATTACTATAGGGTGTTTGTATTTATTCATTATTTGTTGTTGATTATTATCATTAAATTTACTCAGTTGTCGTTACACGTATTTTGTTAATTTTACTTACTGTTTTATTGTTTTATTTCTTTGGGGTGTTTATTTTTTTTTTTTAGTGAGTTTAAAGTATTGCCTTTGTTTAAAGTATGTCACATCTGTGTTGTATACAGTGCATATATTTTCATTTTTCTTTTTTAAAATAACGTCGTACACATTTGTTTTCGTGCTTGAGAGAAGTTATGATCGTTTATTTAGTAATGTATGTTGGTCTAGGATGGTGATTACAGCTATTTTCTCTCCCAGACAAAGTTTACGGCTTTGGAATTTATTGCTGTAGGTTGATGCCGTTTTCCTTATTTCTCGTATTTATAATGTATTTTGGTTTTTGTTAGAAGTTATCATAAAAGGAAATCACCATAACTTAAATTTATTTGATTTTCTCGACAGCTTTGCCGTGCCAGAAAATCTTTCTCGTCAAAATCCATCTAGCAGATTTATAAGTCTATCCTTCGCCCGTGCATCGAATACTGTTGTCATATCTGGTCTGATGCTCCTGTTGTATATCGCGAGATTCTTTACAAAAATTCAAAGAAGGATCTCTAATGTAATCGATCCTAAACTGACATCTCGATCTGAATCACTTTATCACCTTTGTGACTTGGCTTCCTTTTGTCTTTTACACCAATATTTTCAAAGCAAATGTTCTGATGAACTAAACAACGACCGCCCACCCCCAACGACCGTATCCCAACTACAAGAATTTAAGCGTGCTACTAGATTAGAAACTACGTCTTACTGGTTCACTGTTGAACTAACTCGATGCAACTGACACTTCTATTCTAACAGTTTCTTTTCTCGCACTTCTCACTTGTGGAACTAAAAAAACTTGCTTCCGACTTGCTTCCGTCACCTACAATCTTGAATGTAATCTCAATCGTCATATTCTGTCTTCCTGAACCTTGTTCCTTTATTGTCCTTTTTTCATTAAAGTATTCTCGTTTTCTTTCACTCCCTGTACCCCGCCCCGCAACCTAGTGTTATTATTGCCTTGTTTGGGGTGAAATGATTAAAAAATGTATTGGTTTAGAGCTGCAGCCAATGAAATGCTAAGGAAGGTGTTCGCATTAATCACCTCAATTTGGGACTGGCGTTGCTTGGTTAGCTTTGATCAAAAGATATCTGAGGATTACGTCTCAATTTTTATGACGTCACTGATCTGGGGTTGTTTAGTCCTACAAGTTTTTTTCAGCTGTTGATTCGATGTAGGCGTTCACCTTCAAGTCAGTTGAAAACGTGAGGCAAAGAAGGCACAGTGTGTTGCTCTCCATGAGTCTAGCATCGACCATACAAGAAAATTTCTCTATTTTGCTTAAATGAGAGCAATTTCGATTTGGAGGCATTCAAATTTACGAGCCAGTTCCTGTCCCAGTTAACCACTGATTGGAAGTTTTTTTCAAGAGCAGTTGACTTTGTCAACTTTGATGGATTTGCTATTGAGACAGGAGTAAATGGTAGTGTCATCAGCATAAATGCCTACTTGGGAACTGATGATATCAAGAGGATCATTGATGAAAATCATAAACAGCGTAGAGCTCGGGATAGATCTTTGGGGGACACCCGTGTTCGTGTGAAAGGATCTGGAAGCGAGCCCGTTCAAAACGAACTTCATTTCACAATTTGATAGGAGCGATTGGTTTAAATCAAACACAAATCAAGTAATACCGTAGCCCTGGAGCTTACGTAGAAGACCAGCGTGCCAAACACCGTCGAGATATCTTGAGTCCCATTATCAAGAGCTACATATTCAGTGATGGCCGTTAGCACATCAGCGGTAGATCTGGTAAAATGGAAGCCATATTGTTTGTCAGAGTAGGTCGTGTGAGGTAAGATGCTTAACCACTTCAGCATTCATTAAAGCCTCGAAGACTTTTCGAAAACCGGTAGGAGATTAATAGGGCGATAGAGAGTTCAGAAGGTTCTCCAGGGTTCTTAAAAACAGGAACTACAGAGAAGGACTTCCAACAAGCTGGGAGGCAATATTTGGAGAGAACTGGAGCCAGTTCGGGGGCACATTTCTTTAGGACGACGGCTGGGATCCCATCACATTCGCTTGTCTTACGGGAGTCTTATTTAGAAATAATGTCTGACACCTGTGACGGGGTTATGCACATATCACTCAGTAGATCCTCTGTTCTAGGAGGGGGGTACTCTAAATGATTCAAGTGTTGAGTTGGAAAAGAATTTCAGAGCAAAGCATTCAACATTATCTGCTGTAAATATCAAGACTTCGAACTGATTGAAAAGAGGAGGGATGGAAAAGTCGCCAATAATCTTTGGAACCGTGTGTGCGCTAATTTTTTCAAGTAATTCTAACTACTACAATACATCCGCATTCGACAGAGGAGCTTACAAGCACCTTTCTAAATCGAGCTGTGAAGATACTTTGTTGAACGTAGGCCTTCCTCAGATCATGGGTAAGAATTGGGAATTACCCTACAACGTTGGCCCATGCTCGGGTGGTCATGTTTGCTTTTTCTATTTATGATAGCCCAAGGGTATTTGCGCATAATGTAACGAACCCGACTAAAATTTGAACTCGGCTGTCTGATTTTTTATTCTAAGCCGTCAACAATTGAACCAATCGCTCATCAAAGCTTACAGCATCTGGTATTCCCAAGCAGTTATCCATCCAAGTACTTACCTAGCTCCACGTTGCTTAATTTCAGTGATCTAACGAGAACCAATGTTTCAACGTAATCTGACTGTAAGCTTTACATAAACCTAGTTATTTGAAACAATAGAACTGGTTATTTTGGGTAAAAATACCACGACACTATACCGGTTGTAAAGGATCTTGTAAACAGCAGTAGTGTGCTGTTCGAATAACAATAGATATTTAAGAATACCAGCCTGGGCAATAAAACTGATAATTACTAATATTGTTGCTATAGTAACAAAAACAAATCCGATAGATCAAATAAAGTAAAACTGGGAGCTGTTCTCGAAAACTAAACTGGGGCCCCAAAAAATGGCTTGTCGATTTTAACGTCTCCAAAACGAAACTTCTCTTTTAGTTATCAGAGAGAAATGTTTGCCTTCCATCAGCATTGCTGATTGTTTACAGAATACAAAGGCCAGGGTCAGAATGGTCAGCGATTGGCCGGAGTGCCTCTTGGGTGTGGTATTCTGACAGTGATGGATTGCCTTTGTCTGGGTTTTGGTAGTCCAAAACGAGCTGCAAGAATTTTGAAGCGTCAATAGGTTTCCCATATCCAGGTTGAGAGACCGGCTAAAACCGCCCGCAGAGGGACGCTGAGCTAACTTGCAACATGCGTTCTCGTGATGTCATTCCTCCCGCCGCCTCTTAGAATCGAAGCTGCTACGTCTGTCCCCTCTTCTAATAAAAACGAATAAGAAAAAGAAATCGTCCTTTTCCTTGATATCATTTTATATAGTGGCGTGTGGACTCAGAGACGACACCGAACGCAGCATGTCAATGATGTCATTCTCCAGGAGAGCAACTTTTTGCGCTTTCTTGGTCTCACATTTTCCACTGACACGGAGTGGAATGATTACATTGACTCAATTACTAAGTCTGCTGGTAGGAAAATTGTTTCACTGTGTCGTGCTAGACAATTTTTCTCGCCAGAATCCAACTTGCACGTTTATAAATTTGTCAGTTGTTTATGTTTGAATATTGCTGCCATATTTAATCGGGTGTCCCTGCTATCTAACTAGAGATCTTTGATAAATTCCTAAGATGGGTCTGTAATGTTATCGGTCTTGACCTGGCATCTTGACTTCAGTCACTTTTCCTTCTGTCTTTTCTATATATATTTTCATGGCAACTGTTCTAATGAGCTTTCATTCCTGGTACCTTGACCGCATGAATTTAAGTGTACTACTATATTGGTAACTAGGCCTCACCATTTTACCGTTGAAATAGATATAACCGTAAGTTCTATTCTAATAGTTTCTCCATATGCACTTCTCGCTTGTGGAATTCTTTTCAGTTTCTTGCTTCCCTACGATCTTTTAAAAATTTAAATACAACATCAGTCGCTATCTTCTGTCTTTCCGAGTCCTGTGCTATTATTGTCTTTCTCCTCATTAGTGTCTTATTTTTTTTCACACTAAGTGACCCCTTGCTCTTAGCGGCATTATCGCCTTGTTTGTGTTGAAACTATTAAAATAACATTGATGCAGTCTCACCAATAAAGAGATAAGAACTAAACAAGGCGGAGTAAGAAGAAGTTGATTTATGGGCGGGGCGGGGGGTAGGCAGAAGTTACAGCAGAACTGACATGGGAAAAAATTTGGGTCATGAAATTTCAAAACGAGAAACCAAAAATGCGAAGAAAAACAAATTTGGAGAGATTTTGAAAGAAAAAGATTAGAGATGAAATGACATGCAAATCCTTGTGCAGAGTAAAATGAAAATCGGCAAATGAATTTAAATTTTGCCTGTGGTTCTCTCTGCAGTTACCTGCTCGTGGTTTTCTATGCTGTTACCTGCTGGTGGTTCTCTCTGCAGTTACCTGCTCGAGGTTCTCTATGCAGTTACCTGCTCGGGGTTCTCTCTGCAGTTACCTGCTCGTGGTTCTCTCTGCAGTTACCTGCTCGGGGTTCTCTCTGCAGTTACCTGCTCGGGGTTCTCTATGCAGTTACCTGCTCGTGGTTCTCTATGCAGTTACCTGCTCGAGGTTCTCTCTGCAGTTACCTGCTCGGGCTTCTCTCTGCAGTTACCTGCTCGGGGTTCTCTCTGCAGTTACCTGCTCGGGGTTTTCTATGCTGTTACCTGCTCGAGGTTCTCTATGCAGTTACCTGCTCGAGGTTCTCTATGCAGTTACCTGCTCGGGGTTCTCTCTGCAGTTACCTGCTCTGGGTTTTCTATGCTGTTACCTGCTTCTCTCTGCAGGTTCTCCTATGCAGTTACCTGCTCGAGGTTCTCTATGCAAAAACCTGCTCGAGTTCTCTCTGCAGTTACCGGCTCGGGGTTCTCTCTGCAGTTACCTGCTCTGGGTTTTCTATGCTGTTACCTGCTCGGGGTTCTCTCTGCAGTTACCTGCTCGAGGTTCTCTATGCAGTTACCTGCTCGAGGTTCTCTATGCAGTTACCTGCTCGGGGTTCTCTCTGCAGTTACCTGCTCTGGGTTCTCTCTGCAGTTACCTGCTCTGGGTTTTCTATGCTGTTACCTGCTCGAGGTTCTCTATGCAGTTACCTGCTCGTGGTTTTCACTGCAGTTACCTCCTGTTATTTTCTTTGGTAAAGACATGAATCTAATTCTGTATACATTCTCTGCCACTGACAGTTATTCTGACAATCGGCTTTATCACTGATATATTATGGTAGATGTCGAAGAAGGGAACGAGGCAAATGAACAGTTGACAAAACCATTCACACCATTAACAAAAATATTTAACTAATTAGTCGCCGCATAAAGCTGTTTTCGACGTAGTCAACCCGTATGGAACTAATGTTTGTAGTATATGACTAACCGCAGATACTACCAAATGAACTTTGCACTCAGTGTTACGCCGGATCTTCAGAGAAGTCCTTTACATCAGCGGGTTGACCTGTATGACCTCCGAGTCACCAGGTTCAGATCCACTGCTCACAGCCTATCAATGGCTGCTCTTGACATTTGAACATGCGCTCTACTCTGCCGTAATTGGGATGTGCACACGTGGGACAAACTGGCTGTCAGGTAGATATATAAGCACTCCACACACACACACACACACACACACAATGAGAAAGAAAAGTAGCAGGAGAGTTTTTTTTATATTCTTTCGAAAATGTAAAATTTAAATTCAACGAAGACCCGAAAGCCAGGCATCCACTCGCCGATAATAAAAGTCCGGTATTAGACAATTAATGAGCAATGCATCAGAAGTTTGGGCGGGTGATGTTTCTTAGTTTTTACGACGTTAACATTACTTTTCTTATACAAATTTAATGTATGAATTTATGCTACTGAATCTATCGCGACTTCAGAATAAAGAAAAAAGAAGTAAATGCATTGTTTCAAGAGGCCGCCCTCTTTGGTTGCACCTCCTTTTTCGCTTCAAGTGTCGTGGGTCAGGTTAATGCCTGAGGCCTAAAGTGTCAATGGGAACTGGACAGTTTTTGTTTATAATCACACGGTGGTGGTGGGGGTGGTAGGTGTGATTGTTTGGGGGTGGGGCGTCAATGTCCCGTACTTTAAACTTAATCTTTGCTTTGTGGAGAGACGAATTAATAACTATTTTTCACAAATACATCCTGATGAGAAACCAGAAATCGATGAGTAAAGAAAGGAAACATTTTTTCTTTTATATTGGTGAAAGTTACATGTCAACTTCTGTCCATCTTCTACTTGATTTCTGTAATCTAGCGGATGTACGGGTGGTGTAATGGATCGCGGCTCTGAAGGAGAAATCGGAGAGCCGAGTTCAAATTCCAGTCAGGTTGGTTGCATTTGCTTAAGCGCAATTATTTTGGAGGAAAGTATGAATATACCTTCTCAAACCGCCTGTAGGTTAAATAATATTGTTTCTGAAAAAAGATTAATTCACTAGCAAAACTGGAATTATTTTTACAACTGAAAAAAATAAAGTTGATAAACCGTAAAAAACAATCAATCTGCAATGTTGCACGATATAAACGATTTATTTATCGCTACTTCAGTGAATTCTTAGCACGAGATGAACTGTTTGTTTTATTTCAAATATCTATGTAGTTTGGTTGAATAAAAGCCGTGTTAATTTTTATTTCTTGCTATCGTTTCATGCTATATATTTTAAGGTTCCCTTCTCTGATTGAAGATTGAAATGTAGAATAGTGATTATCTTATACAGTAGCTTACTGACGATTTTTCAACGGCAAGGCGGTCAATTTACTTGGATAAATGTTGTTTAGTATACTACAAGATTATAAACTGCTTCCAGTATCAGGTATTCTTGCGATCGGTGAAACTATCATTTACACAGAATACACTTGGGATTGAACCGATGATCTCTTATTTTCAGTCTAATATTCTCCAAACTAAGTCGTTTCTGCTGACGAAATAAGAAAGTGGTATTTACTTTTGTTCATGTCAAAGCCTCATGACAAAAGAATCAGTGGACGAATGTACGACTGGATATCAAAGGCGAAATCAGGAAACATTTCGTCTAACGTTCTTTGAATTTAACTATTTCGGCTGGTGAAAACAAAGATACCCTTTACTTGTATTCATTCAAACACATCAGAATAGAAAGAATCGGTAACTTAACCTCTGATCCAATGCTAATTCGTAACAACCAGAACTGAACTGGCCACAGAAATCTTTCTTTCCAGTTTAATGCCTTTCCGATGAGGCTATTTCGGTTATGAATAACCTGCTTTATTTTCGTCTTTTGTCCCTTCAGTGAACGTTCAAAGCTAATTCACAAAATGGCGACATACTTTTAGCATATTATTCATGAAATCGTTAAAGTATTTTCTCTAAATGTAAAAGTTTAAATATATTTCTGTTCCATTGAAATGAGGTCAGGTTATGTTAGAGAAAAGCAAAGAAAAGTTCTCGCGAAATATTTTTAAAGAAAGAGTAAACTAAAACGATGTTGATGTATAACTTGAAGTGTCAGTTATATTTAGCCTCTTCCCCGGCGTAGACGTGTATATAAGTTTTTACCAAAAATTTCTTTTTCAGACACCGACGAATAAAGACGTCCAAAACATAACATTCAAAAAGGCATCTACAGACTTTTTTATACGTCGATCTTGATTCTTTTTATGCCCTTCTGAGCTCGAAACTAGTCTAATTGTCAATTCAAATGTCTTGCAGAGGTGTTAGCCACCATTCGGGTACTTCAAGGTACCTTAATTTCTTAGTTACTATATTAAAAACAAATTAAAAATTCGTCTGTAAATGAAAGGTTTTTCCCAAAATAATTGGTGGGGTAGGGGTTAAGGAGCGCTGAGAAAAGTTATCAAAAACGTACGAGCAGAGAGACTGTGATGGGTCCTTGGATGATCCATTGGAGGTCACTACTACCTGTCCAACATCTGAAACAGACGTTATGAAACATTAGTTAGGTTAAAACAAAAAAATAGACGTACAGCCTGAAATGACAAAGCTAAACCATAGACTTGCTAAAGGAGCGCATCAACATGTTTTCAAAAATTAGAACAAAGAAAAGAAATTTATGATAAAAAATATATACACTGTCCTGTCAGAAGTAAAGAGATAGATGTCTGGCACCGTCTCGGATTTACTCGAGTTCAGCGAAGTACAATGACTCTGTCGTGGCATCGATTCCATGAGTGGTAAAAAAAAGCTCTCTAGGTAGATGTTGAGCTATGTGCCCTGTCAATAGCTATCTACAGTTTCTTGATGTTTGTTGCTGCAGGACTTTGCCTGCTAATCACACTCTCTCCAAAGTCCTCTTAAATGCTCGACTGATCTTATCTTGAGCAAACATGGTGACCACATAATTAATTGGAAACCTCCTGAATGCTCCTCAAACCAATTCTGGGCAACTTAGGCAACCGATGATGTGGTGCAATATCCTGCTGAAATAACCATTGTTGGGGCAGATAGACCATGTATGGGTGCAAATGGACACAAAGCAGTGCAACGTAAGTTATTGGTCAATGACTTGTTTCAGCGGACCCAACCCATACTATGTGAATACACTTCATTTCTTATGGAATCACCACCAAGCAGAACGGACACTTGTTGACAACTGGTGTCAGTGGCCATGTGGAATTTGCTCCACACTTGAACCTTACTATCAGCCTGAAACAATTGGGGAAAATGGCTCATTAGACCAGGCTACTCGTTGCCAGTTACCTTGTGTCTAATTAGCAACGTAACTAATCCAGGTGAAGCGCTTTTGTGTGGTGCTAAGATAATCTTAGTACCACTCGTAGAGAATATATAACTCTCTTAGCCACCACACCAAGCATAAATATGACAATATATGTAGATTTGAGGATTATGTCCTCAACGTTCTACCCACCTCTCCCTCTTTCGTGGCTGAGTCGGTCTAAAACACGTCGTATCTGTCTCCTGCAAAGAGTGACGCAGATTCGAATCCTGTCGGAGGACGCATCTTTTTCTTTAATAAGATTCCTCGAATATTCAGGCCAGCAGACGAAAATAAATATACCGTTTAATAAATAAATGGGGCGTCTACTCAAATATGGGTATCCATTAAAAACCTTATAAGTGATAGTACATATTCACCATTACTAAGAATAACTGGGGAAAATAGTGACCCCCATGGGCCTAAAAGCGCTATACGAGTAATTGCCGACATGTGAAACATAACTATTAAAATATAACAGAGAAAAAATACCGATAAAGTGTATGTGGGGAGCTTTGAAAGGTGCAAGAAAACAACAAAAAAAAAAAGGTGTCTCACTTTTTGTTATCTCCGTATAATGCCCGGAGGACTGTGTAGATAGTCGTCGGAAGCAAAGGGACAACTGAAAAAGAAATAAGACAAAGTGATTAGGGTATCAGTGAATGGGTGTAATGCCGAGTGAAGTGACAAGACCGAATAAAGTTTGACGACTTCTACTACTATTGTGTTCAGAAAGTGAATATTGGTAAAAGAAAACGGGGCGCAAATTAGGATTGCTTAAAGATGGCGGCCTCGTGAGTCAAAGGTGAATAAAATGGAAATATATGAACAGAAGAATCTCTATTCAATAAAATAGACACGTTTCTTCACCAACAGATACAATGCGTACTTACACAAGTTTACTTCGACACATGACCACAAACGTAGGGCGCCTAATGAGGATAAGAACTTGGCTAGGCTCGATTGGTAATCACGACTTCACGGTTAGGCGCCCTCTGTGTGTGATCTTTTTGAAAAAACAATTTGGCTTATTACGGCAGAAAGTTCCAAAGGTGGTGGGGCAATGAAAATCAAACTCAGCATAACAATAATAGCCTGGATGATCACTTTGCTAACCACTACACCTGAACGACAAAGACTTTTTGAGAGATTAATAGCCAATGCGTGTCGATGTGATCAATGAAAAATATTTCGTCAATAATGACGCCTTTGTGTGTGTTAATGTAAGAGACATTTCTTGATCAACGGTAAGGCTGATATTAGTTGATGCGAGAAACAGTATCTCTTTATCAGCGCTAAGGTATTTGATAGTTTATATAAAAATAGTTGTTGCGGACCGGTGTACGCGTTGTGAGATAAACACGCGTGTATCCTGAAATACCCACAGCAAACATGGTAGGCTCGAAGTATGCGTCCACCAAAAGAATTGTAATGAAACAGCAAGAACCGCTATATATGTAGAAACAAATAATGTATTAACAACAAAAAGTATTACAGGTGACAAAGACAATAATATGTGTGTAACAAATGAATATGGAAAGTTTTTGGTTATGAAGTGAGTGAATGTGCGTACGTACGTGTGTGTGTATGTATTGTTCATGCTTTTACCATGAAGGGAAACGCGATCTTCTGCGAGCGATTTACATTGTTGTTGTACAAGCGAAAAAATAAGAAGAGGGTGATAAAGTATTATCGCAGAGTATTTATATTGTTGGAGATCGCCCCCTAAGAACAGTTTCGGATATTAGGAGGGAATAACCCGACCCAGTGTCTTAGCGAGAACTCCATTTTTATTTAATATGAGACTAATTTTTCTTACTGACAATGCTTTTGTTAGATAGCATAAGAAACAGTGCCACTTTTCAACTATAAGGTCTTTGTTAGTTAATGTAAGAAACGTTGTCACTTTGACAACGATAACACTTTCTTAGTTAATATAATGAACATTTTGTTGTCAAAGGTAACAGCTTTGTTAGCTGAAAGAAACATTGCCTGTTAACGATATCAGTTGTTAGCATAAGAAACGTGTTTCTATTAACAGTTGTTAAGTATTTTTAGTTAGAATAAACAATACTTCTTAATGGTATTGCTTTTGTTAGTTAACGTAAAAATATTCTCCCTTTCAACAGAAGTACTATTGTTAGCGTAAACAGCACTTATGTTAACGGTATCATTTTTGTTAGATAACAGAGAAAATGGCGCCTTTTTAGCAAAGGTGTTATTAGAAACAATGCCATGTTTGTTAACGGTATCGATTTTGTTCGTTAACATGAAAAATAATACCTCTTTGTCATACCCAATTGCTTTTGTTCATTAACATAAACAGTATATATTCGTTAACGGCACCACTTTTGTCAGTTAACATATGGAACATCGCCTCTTGGCATGATCTATAATTTCTTAATTAACATAAGAAACATACCTTTCTGTTTTACCTGAACGCTTTTCTTACTTAACAGCGTCTCTTTTCCAAAAGGTAAAGCCGTTGTTAGTTAACATAAGGAAACGGTAGCCATTTTATAATTGTCACGCTTTAGTTAAAATAGCGGTGTTTCTTTGTCAAAGATAATAATTTTGTTAGCTAACATATAAAACAGATGTTTTTTTTGTTTTTTTAACGATTTGCTGATTTCTTTTTAGATATTATTATTTTTTTTTTTTTACAAGTGATACAATTTCCTTTTACATGAGAGTGCTGAAAAATTCTCGACTAGACCAACTCCCCATAACTTGATTATGCGTAAAGAAATTTGGATTTCCTGCTTGGTCGGGTCGAAAACCTTTTTTTTTTTTTTTTTTTTTGGCACCATCGTCGTATATTTTTCTATATATAGCGCTGTCATGGTATACTTACCCCATCCAATGATGTAACAAATATTCCTCAGGTAGCAAGTCGTTGAGAATGTTTGTACGATGACGGTGTTCATGAAAAGCCCCTCGCAGAACATCCAGAAATAATTGGAACAAGTCGTGTATTGGGTCATTACATGAACGGCTTGGCACCAAATCTGCCGTGATAAAAGTATCGGGATATTAGGAAGAATATAAAAACATATAATCTATGTACACCAATAGATGTTGATTGTTTACGAAAATAAAAGAAGCAGCTTTTTATAAACTATTTGAGGCTGACTTGTGCATGGGTAACTGTTTCAGAGGCTTGGGGATTTTTCATTCCCTACCAAACCCTAACGTCCGTCTATATTATAAAAGAAGCGCCTAGTCTCTGTCCATCAAAATATTGTCTGTGTGTGTGACATTGCATGCGCGGATGTAATGTATATGTCTGTGTTGCGAGGGATTAACTTACATGTGCTTGTGCTATTTAATGGGCATACGCAGAGACATGTACCAACCTTTTAACGGGGATGAGAGCGTAGTATCTGTTCTTTCCTTAAGTGAGATGGGAGAAGACACCCGATCTCGGGTATTCCAACCCGAGGTAGCTTTGAATATTGCTGCCACATCTGGTCTGGTGTTACTGCTATATATTTAGAGATTCTTGATAATATCCAAAGATTAAACTGCAACATTATTGATCCTGACTTGGCATCTCGGCTTCAGTTACTTTCCAACCGCCGTCACGTAGATTATCTGTGCCTTTTTTTTAATAAATACTTTCATGGTAATTGTTTTGATGAACTTTCCTTTGTAACCCCTTACGTCTTAGTGACTTGATTGCTATGCTTGGTGTGAAATGATTTTTTTAAAAAAGTATATTCCTCGTTGCACTAAGAGAGGCGGGATTGGTGTAATATCGACTCCAGTGTGACATTGGTTGCTGGGATTGGGTATTTTGGAACTTGTCCCATATTGCACATTCATATGTATTCTCCCTCCTCACGTTTAAAAAGACCTTGTGTTACACCCGACTTTAATGAGGAGGTCAGGTAAATTTTATACACACAATTTGACTCAAAGTGAATTTGAAATAAGACAATGATATGTTCTTCTTCAACTTAGTCTGAACAACCCCTACCTTGGACTGAGTAATAAAATCATAATGTTGGAGACAAGAAAAAAAAAAGGCAAAAAATTTTTAAATTCTAAAGAATCAGAATATTGAACTTTTCGGAAATTATTCGGTTATAAATCAAATGATGTTTTCAAGGTTTTTTTTTTCTTTTAAATTTGCACATATTTTAGGGCTATCATTGAATTAAAATATACACGTAAACATACATACTCAGTTTGGATAAAATTCTAATGGATATACGTGTCGCGAGGACTAATTTCATTTTATGTGAGGCAACAACTTGTGGGTAACAGGAAAAGAGTCCAAATTTAATATGTAACCCATTGAAATCATTTTATGACACCTATATTTGAAGTGAATATATTGTCTAAATAATATTTCCTGTTGCTTTAAATGGACAAATCAATTTAGATTTGAAATCTGATCATCTTGCCGTCAGTGAAGCGACTGTTGCCGAACTAGTAAGCTTAAACGATAAAAGATTCAAAAAGAAATTTTTTTTTTCTTTTTCTCGCAGACTAGAAATGTAAATTTTTTTTCCATGGTACTTTTGGGTCGAATTTAAACAGAAGCTTATTTTGAAAAATGAAAACATTCCAGTCTCTTTTAGTTGGACATCATATCAATGAAAAGGTCAGATTTTTGCAGTTTTACACGAAGCTAATACTGTCACGATTTTGAAATAAGGAAAAAATTAGCAAACGAGTTTAGCATTTTAGGATCTGCTTCCGCACCAAACTAAGATTTTCATAAACAACGATAAAAATTGACCCGTGAAGTTTATTTCGTTAGGGATTTTAGTTTTGTAATAGATTGATTCGATTTCTATGGTGGTTTATCAACCTTTTACAGTTTATTTAAAGCCAATTTAAAAAACAATCTTATTGGTTTAGGGATACAATTCTTACTAATTAACCCATATTTAGGGGGAGAAGAGGTAGATTCATACTCTTCCCAAGGATATTTGCGCGAAGGTGAATATAATGAACCCAAGTGGAATTGGAATTTGGCTCTCCGATTAACAATTCCGATACATTATCCATGATAGCTGCTAAAACAATTCTTATCTTTCGATAAAAAGCAACAATCTTCTTCCAGGAACACCAGTAAATTTCGGCGAAATAAAATATGAAATAAATAATTCGCAAAGAAAAGGCGTGTACGGCTTTCAGCAGAGGAAGCCATGTCAGCTATTTAGTGTCAGGAAAATAACAGTACCATAACATATAATTTCGAATTGTCTGAGGTTCACTTTTCACGTGAAACAACTAGTCACCATAAAGTCCTGTGTCTATTCGCTCTTTTCTGGATTGGCTTACAGTTTTGGATTTTCTGGTCTGAATTATTACTGAACCCTGTTTGTTATCGCTGAACTTAGGTCGGTTTTTCTTGCTTCCTTTTGGTTTTTATTTCGTTTCTGAAGGTTGGTTCGATGACGTTTGTGAAAAAAAAAATGATTTTTCTTCGAATGGGGCTGTCTTCTGTGGTTTTTAGTCCCACTTGAGTCCATCGAACCAATCTTCAGAAACGCCAACATACAGATTGACAATTCTGGATTCGATTCGAAATTCAAACAAATATCACCTGAAGAAGGCCGGGCGTACAATGACCGAAACGTTGCGAATGTGACAATAAAGGTGACAACAGTCCGAACAATGTAAATAGTGTAAATAGTTAGAATATCTCATCTAAGAAATATGGTCAGATAAAACCCACTTCAATATTTCCAATTTATAACATTTTATAACTTAGCTCCTTCATATGGAGTTATCAAACACATCTCGTCTACCATTAAAAGCACAGTTGGTTCGATCCTCACTCAAGGCTGGCTCTACGCTTACCATTTGATGTCAGACCCACAATGCACTCAGTAAATATCTCGACCGAAGCATATTTCATTTTAATGTCAATGTTACGCGTGTTAAACGACTATGTGTATATATATAAAAAAAAAACTTCCTTCGCTAGAAATCAAAAGAAAGCACTTCATGAAACGAAACAAACAAGGAGTATTTTGAACGAGTTCTTTTTGAAGGGCTGTTGGAGACTTTCACTGAAGAGTGAATTCTTTCAAGTGGCTTTTATAAAAAATCAGAGATAGAAAACCCCTTTAGGTGGCTGGACGATCCATTGAAGTGTTTTGCTATTTGGTGTTTCTTTGTTCTATCGAAAATCTGACATAATACAAGAAGCACTGCATTTGTCTCAATATTCCGTTTTGATTTTAAAAAAAGTGTTTTTTCTCGTAGTTTCAAATAAAATTTATTTGTATTTGATAATTTAAAAAAAAAAACATACTGCCCAAACGAATTGAATTTGCAGAAAGAGAAATGATTACAATAAATAAATAATAATTGTTGATTATAAAAGAAAGGAAGGAAAAAAAGAACAAATGAAAGAAACGGATTGGAAAAGATATTAATGTGAGAAAATACACCTCATGAGGGCAGGGAAAGGATATAAAAATATGAAAAAGAAACTCCGGATAGATAGTAATGGAAAAGAGATAAGAAAAAGGTAATGATATAATGGAGAGGATATATATATATATATATATATATATATATATATATATATATATATATAGGGACAATTTCTGTCTATCATTTTTTTGAAATCGTTTAAATTTTCGAATAAGGTGTTTTGTTTTATCGGTAAATTTGAAAAAATCATATTAACTTTTATTTTATATTATTTTTTTCTCCCCAATTACTTTTGAATGATAGGTCATTCATTTTTAAGGATTGTTCCGTATGGAGTTACGCAACAGGTTTTTAATTCCGGCGTTCTTACGTTTGATGAATTCAATTACAACACACACGCAGTGAATTTAGTGCAATTCATGTACATATAAATGAACCGATGACAATTAGACAGAATAATATTAACATCAGACAAATTTCAGGATACAGATTCCAAATTCTGGAGGCTGTTATAATAAAAGAGAAACAACCAAGTTTGAAAAACAAAAGGTAGCGGCAACAATTCGCGCGGTGTTCAAATTCCCCAAATTCTTGGGTAGGTTCTTGTAGAAATGTTTTTTCCCAAGCAGTTTTACATATTACAAGTTCCGTAACCTATTAGATTTATAGGTGCACAACATGTACTGCAGCCATGACATCAGTGGTGTGTGTAGGGCAAGATAGCCTGACATTCTACAGGTTGGTTTTGAATCTACCGTTTTCTTTTTCTTGTCTGGTTGCCACTTCAAGGCAAGAAATTTCAGACTATTTAATCCATATCTGTCGGGAGGGCGACAAAAGATGGATTTATGCGAAAGTGAACGTAATTTATATTATATATATATATATATATATATATATATATATATATATATAGACAAGTTCTGTCTATCTGGATTGCCGATTTTGCTTTCCAAGTCGTTAATAGTTACACTACACACGCGTTCCGTCAAAACAGTTACGTTCGGTAGAATAATATATAATATGTGTGTGAAAGGCTCAAACAATAATACTCCATGGTTATAATTTATTAGAATCGTAATCACGATCCAATTCATCAGACCGATAAATTAAAAAAAAATATTCTTACTATGTCTTGGATATTGAGTTGTACTTGGATTGTATCTTCTTGGGAATTTACACACACACACACACACACATATATATATATATATATATATATATATAAAATATATATATATATGTCCGAGAAATTTTCATAGAAAATATTCGTTCAGGCCGGTAAATGTTATTTAATACTGTTTATCATAAACAGAGCATTTGCTTAAATATTGTATCTATAAAATAACAACGTTAAACATATAAAATGTATAAATAAATTGTCGGACCTCGTCCATTTCTTAACATATATATATATATATATATATAAAATATATATATATATATTGACCACTAATATTATTTTATATATATATATATATATATATTGACCACTAATATTACTTTATATATATATATATATATATATATATATATATATATATATATATATATATATATTTTTCGTATAAAATAACGGATTATTTTATGCTATGTTACTCGGACCAGCATGGTGTTGTTATACTCTCGAAGTTCGGCCGCTGTGACTTCTAGTTTTCTTCAGGTATCTGCCTTTGTCCTCAGGAACTTTCAAGAAAGTTCCTGAGGACAAAGATCGTTCAGATCTTTTTATTCAGACTCCAGCATCTAAACACTAGATTGTCCAACCTGGTCTAGTGGATTTAAGCATTGGATATAATAGACCTATTTTCTCTGGAAATTGTGTATTCAATCCCTTGTTCTAGTAGTGCTGAAATGTCACATCCTCTTATTGAACGGAAACAACAGACAAACGACACAAGGGTGAATAAGACTGTTGAGTCTTAACTGATATGAAACACACCCAAGGCTTAGAAAGTGAAATGAGAGCAAATTACGTACGTGGATTAAATAAAACTTTTACTCCGTGTTTTTTGCCCGGCGCTTATCTGTGTAAACAAAAATCGAACAGTAGCAAGTTCTCAAGAGATGAAATAGCAATGTTGGCAAAGCTGATATTAGTATCAGGAAGAATGTGCAGAGAACACAATGAAAACAATGCGCGTTTTTTTTTTTTTATAAATAAAGGGACATTTACGTAAGGATTGTAGTTTCATTTGTTTCGAAAAAGTTAATCCCAAGTCGAATTTGTATTCCGGAACTCAGCATTTATCATTTCGCCCGCTCCTCCAGAAAAAACAAACAAAAAAAAAAAAAAACAATGTTAGAGAGTTAGTGTTTTTAAAAAGAAAAGCCACGACACTCCGCTTTTCCAGCTGACATAAAATAAGAGGTGAAAGCAAAATATATATAGAGAATGGAAAAACCTTACGGGATTTTCAAGCAGGACTTGGCCTTCAGTAACGATTGCTTTATACTCTATGATCCAAACGATTCCGTTCAGGATATATGTTAGGAATAGGTTTTTGTGAATGGAAACACGAGCACAGTCCAGTTGCCTGAAACAAACAAACAAACATGTTTCACGATTCTCGATGCAATTATGGATGGATACAGGAAAGACATTTGTTATTAAGATTCCATCAAAAAGCTTTAGGTGTTTTGTCTTAATAACAGATAAACAACTTTTTAATCAAAACTCCGAAAACAGAAAAATTCTCCGAAAATTGCGCATTCGTATCATATAAAAGTTCAGTTCACGTTATGTCACTTCCACGGAGTCGAATAACCACCAATTCCCCCGTATTCCAAGTATAATGCGAAAGTGTCGTTTAGACAGCTTTTTCTCAAGAAAAGTCACATATTCAGATTCAGTGGAAGAAACGGACAAGTAACACAAAGATGAATGTGACTGGCGAGTATTAACTGACACGAGTTATCTCCCTTAACCATTGAAAGTAGAATGAGAACAATCTATCAGGAGTACAAAAACAGATGCTTGAAGTAGTTCAGGTGGCATAACCAAGATGAGGAAAAATTGATTAAGTGTATTGACAACGAAGGTAAATACTGAGTTCGATCCCTGTCCTTGATAATGTTGAAAAGTCACATATCCTTGTTCACTGAAAGAAACAGACAAGTGACACAAAGATGAATGAGACTGGTGACTATTAATGAATAGAGTAATGGAGTTATCTCCCCTAAGCATTTGTAGTACAAACACCCGTATGCATGCTTCCTTGAACGCGACAATCTGAACCTCTTCAAGTCAAGAGTCAGTTGTTATTTATAGCCTCCTTAACCTCGTAATCTTCACTTCTTACTATCTCCTCTTTCGCAGTAACCGTTTACTTTGATTTTCTTTCAAGCCTTTCATTGGGTGAACTTTAGTATTAAAATAAAGAACATCTATCTATATTTCTGAGATGAGGTATTGTTACTATTTACACTATTAGGACTGTTGTTCTCATTTTATTGTCATATTCACGGCGTTCCAGCCGTTGTACGCTCCAGCCTTCTTCAGATGATATACGTTGCAATTTCGCCAAGCACACATGGCACATTGGATAAGAACGTTTGTTGAAGTAATCCAGTTATTTGATCCAAAGAGTCGTGAGCTCAATACCTGGCCACAGCAGAGGTGAACAAAAACTTGGAGGGTTGAGTTACTAAAGGGAAATAACTGAAAACTGAGATATCCAGAAGAGACATGGCATGTGGAACTAGAATAAGCTACCCTGGTGGACGAAATAAAGGGCTAAAAATTCCAACGTATATCACCCGAAGAAGACCGTAGCGTACAACGGCCGAAACGTCGTGAATATGACAATAAAGATGAGGGCAACAGTCCGAACAATGTAAATAGTGTAAGTAAAATAAAGAAAGAAGAATGCCAATAATTTTATAATCTATCTCGATCTAATTTACCACTTTACAAAAAAAAACTGTGATATTCATTGTCTAAATTCACTCCATTAAGTATTGATATTTACGAGATTCATAGCAGAGACGTTACCATTTCTGAAACAATCGATTTAACACTCTCCGATATCCATTGATTCTATTCTTCTTGTATGCGCCATGTCCCTTCAGAGCATGCGCAATCATGGCTTTCCACAGCATCTATCCTTCGTAGCTCAAAGCAATGTTTGTTCTTTTGCTATAATTCCAAGTCTCTCTTCTTACACAAGCTCATTAGGGAAGTTACTGTTTCCCTCTGTTCTTGTTGCCTTTAATATGTCATGTGAGTATCTAACTCACCAAACCCTCTTTCCTGATGTGTCACAGAAATTTCAGTTGTCTTTTTATGATTCTAAGCACAAATGTTTGTTTCGTTCCCATTTTTCTTAATTCCTCATTGCTTACATATTCCACCAATATTATTCTCAGCATCCTTCTGTTGAACCACATCACCGTTGTTTCGGGTCCCCTTTTCACCTATTAGGAAATTGACCAGCATTCACTGAATTATAGGAGGATTCGTATTCCGTAGCTGTTCAGCACACTTTTCTTTGTTTATAGAGAGCATATTCTTGTTTATTGATATACTTGCATATAATGGCTCTAGTCTCTTATTTACAATGCATTTCCAGTTAAATTATTTACTGTTTTTTTTTTCTCTTGGGTCGGAACAAAAGTTCGTAGAGTTTTAAGTGACTTCAAAAAAATCAAAGACACTAAGTTTCATTATCTTTCAGCGGTTTTATGATTTCATCTTCCCCAGACTTGTCATATTTCTGAGTGATTAAACGATCTATGTGGTTTTACAGGCTTCCAGAGAACTGAAGTCTTTACCAGTAAGAGAATTTTGTAAGGATCGAAATGTGGTAATCCGTATGTTCATTGCCAGGTGAGTATGGCGGGTGTAGGAGTACATCCCAGCCAATCTCTTCTAATTACTGCCGAGTCTGCCAAGAGACGTCCGGTCTGACGTTGTCTTCATGGAAGACAACATCCACCTATCCAATTGAGCAACTCTGGAGATTCTTCGTCGATTGTTACCTGTTAGTCAGTCCACCTGGGAAAAGGACTTCAACGACTGATTTTTGGGGGGAAGGAACTCGTAATAAATAAATTTCCTCTCAATCCCACACCAGATATGCAGCATTCCCTTCGAATGTAGACTGGCTTTTGGACTGGTTAAAAGATGGTTCATTTCGGTTTCCTCGGGATATTTTTTTACACTTCACATTTAAAACACTTAAAATACATAAGAGAGGCACGTTAAAATCTCTCTTTTTGAAATATACATCATAAATTTAAGTCACGTGTGAAACGAAATCGTGTGTTTAGCGGCCACCTACTGAAAACACGCTATGAGTGTTTGTTCTAACTCAATAAATACATTTACATTATATATGTGCTAACATTTGTCTATTATTAACCAGGAAGAGTCACATTAAATTATTTGTTGTCACATGAAATATTGTCAAATGATCACATTTTCGTGACGTGCAGGAAGACGTCTAAAACTTAAAATGAAATAGCGGTAAAGTCAGTGGGTAGCGATAAGAAAATCCGATACTTTGCCTTTGTATACCGAATTAAAATGAGAGTAAGTTTTAAAATCTTTTATTTTATTTCCGCTGCCGGAATTTGTTTCATTAGATAAGGAATTGCGTTAGTGAATAAAAATGTTGTCTTCATATGGATAAAATGCAATAACACACACACAATCAATAAAAATATAAAGTATGCTATATTTATGGGTAAAAGTGCTCAATATCAGATGTTGAGCTTATGTAGATATAAAAAAAATATAAAAGTGGAGGTCAAAACCGAGTGGCGACAATCTTCCTTGCTTGAACGCATGGCCTGAAGATTGCGTTCAGGAATGAAACAGTCTGTTACCGATCGGTGTTCACCTTAGTGTCTATTTTTATATTTCTCTCTCTCTCTCTCTCTCTTTCTCTCTATCACACACACACACAAACACATACATACATTATATGAAATGGTTTAAATTCGACAAATATTTTAATATATTTTCTGTTTATACGTTTTTTTTATGTATACACTTATTTGAGTATTAATTATATTTACCGACCTGAATGTTCGAGAAATTTCATAAAAAAAATATGTGTTTAAAAGCAGTAATTTGAGCTAAACCGGAATGTCTGTGTGGTTGAACGGTCATAGCACGTCAGAATTAATGACTGTTCCGTATAGGATATAGGTTCAATTCCTGTCGGAGGACGCGTATTTTTCTACGAAATTTCTATCAATCAATAAATAATATCAGTTATGAACACGGCCACAACGTGCTGACCCTGTTTGGAAAATAAAACATTCCTATAACTGTACATGCATACCTAAAACAATCCATATACTCAGTTAAAAGTGAAATAAAATTCACCTTGCTAAAACATTCATACAATTTTTATATTATGTCTTGAAAAGAAAAAAAATAATACGAACAAATGAGAAATTATATAAAAATCTCAACCACTGCACCTTGTCTATCGTTTGCAATGAAACTTGCATATATATATATATATATATATATATAGAGAGAGAGAGAGAGAGTACAGGATATCAATCCATTGGTATATAATTCGGGTGAATCCTAGTAATATTATTATAACTGATCCACAGAGAAGTTTTTTATTTTAACAGAGCATATGTATTTTTTTACACCAAAAAAACAAAAATTACCTCAACATAAGGATAGTTTACTTTAAGCCGTTCCGTGCGCGGCTATCATCAGTCTTTAAGTGTCTGTCTCGGAGTATTGTTTTAAATTTATTTTTAATGTCAGTCCTCCTCTGGTACTACTCGTAATATCACGGATTATATAAATAGTTATTATTTTTGCAATTTGTCAGATCTCGGGATTCTTAAAAGTCGATTTGTCGCTCCATGATGATTTTTGGTTCTGCGTTGTTTAAGATTAACTTCGGGATTTTCCCTGTGAATAATTTTTTTGACAATTGCTTTCCTTTGTTTTTATTAGACGTTCAAGCTAAGAGATTCCATTAATTTAAACCTGAACAGAAATGTATTTTATCTTCATGGCACTCTCAAGTTTCTTAAATTATTAAATATTCTTAGCTTGATGTGAGATGAATTGCACAGTTCATTTCGCCTCAGAGAATTTTTCACATTTGTGTTAAAGTCGTTTCCGTTAACGTGGTATTTATTAATAATACAATTTCCTTTTCATTCAATTGATTGATTTTTTTTTTTGTCTGGTGATTTTAGCGCATTAAGATACTATCTTATCGTATTTAATTGTCTCTGTATCGCGAAATCTATAGAATCAGTGACTTCCGTTACCAGGCGTCTGCTATACACGGGAAAATGCAACTCTCTAAAATAATTGGTACGAAATAAATAATGTCATGAAATGAAACTTTTAATTCTCCGAGTAATATATATATAAGTGGGCACTGAAATCAACACTCAGTAGCGGCAGGATGTTTCGTGTTTAAACGCAATCTTCAAGCCTGAAGACTGCGTTTAAGCAGGAGACTGTCGCCGCTGAGTGTTGACCTCAATGTCCACGTCTATATTTACATAAGCTCTATACATAATATTGAACACTTTAACATAAATATAGTGTTATGTCTTCATTCCATTGAATGAAGATAACGCAATCATGAAATATAATGTCGCTTGGAGTCTACGTAGTCTTACTGAATTCTGTAGTAAGGATATAAGGCTCGCTCCTAGCTAGCTCTCTGTTGACGATTCTCGGCGTCAGTATATATGCTAGTTAGACGAGTAAAAGTCATTTTAGAGAGGCGTGTTCATTTCCGCAACACCCTCCTTTTTAGATATGCACTTTATTATATAGTCGATACTTTTTCCGATATGGGTCTTCTTCCAACGTTTCAGTCGGATTACGGTTTCGCTTATCTTATAATGTAATATTAATTTTAAGAATAGGTACTTCAAAGTTATCGTAAAGTAAGTCCATCGTTGAATTAAATTGTACTAGTTGCTTTTTTGTGCATTATTGACGTCAATTGATTTATATGCCTTCCATGTTCAAATCGTCCACCTTCAACAATGTACATCATACTACTAGGGCGTCGAATAATTTTTCCTTCCTGCCAATTTTCCTTTCCGACCTTAAAATTTAAAAAAATTAATTTACCGCCAATCTTAACTGATCTGGTAGGTTCAAATTGTCGACTTTTCTTTTTATTTCTTGGCTGTAATTTGTCAAAAATGGATCTAACTTTCCTAGTAAACACGAGCTCTGCAGGTGACATTTTCGCGGTGACGTTTGCATTTATTCTTGTAGTGCCGTTTCTTCAGCTTTCAAGCCCTTAGCTTTTCTTAACGTGTCGAAGGTGTCAACAAATCGCTCAGCTTAACCATTCGACCTCGGATGATAAATTGGCGCTGTCAAATGTTCAATTGCGTAGTTTTTGGAGAATTTTAAAAATTCGCTAGAAGTAAACAGTTCCATTATCGGATGCCACACTGTCAGGTAATTCAAACCTTGCAAAAGGTTTGCATAGAAATTTAATCGTTATTAAGGTAGTAAGTCGTTTACACTCGTAATACACAATTTCCTCCCAATCCCTCGCCAGATATGCAGCATTCCCTTCGAATGTAGACTGGCTTTTGAACTGGTTAAATGTCGTTCATTTCGGTTTCCTCGGGATATTTTTTCGCTTCACATTTTAAAACCTTAAAATTCACAAGAAAGACGCGTTAACATATCTCTTTTTGAAATATGCATTAATATATATTAATCACCAGTCGTTTTGCGAAACTCTCGACCAGAATTAAATAGTATGAACCATTTAGTGATCTAGCAAAGTCCATATGTAGTCTTGGCAACGGTTTATCAGCGCTCGGCCATGCCTGATAATTTATAGGTGGTGATTTTGCTGCTAGCTTACAACCATTACATTTTCTGTATTTTGAATATCCTTGTCAAATTTTGGTCAATAAATGTAGCTTCTCATCAGCGACTTCATCCTCACTATTCTCGGATTCCCTATGTGGATTTGTTTCAAAATCTTTTTTTGTAGTAGTGATAACGGAATTACTACTCTTTCCGCGTACAAAAGTACTTCATCACAACTAGAAATTCTGTATTATTGTTACCAGGTTTAATTTTAGTTTTACGAATTTTCGACTTAACGTCATTCATAGTTTTTTTTGAATAAACGTATCCTTTTTATTATGAAATTGATATCGTCTATCATGACCGGTAATTCTTTAATAGTGTTACACACAAGGCTTTTAATTTCGCTTTCGAATTCCATCGAAACAATTTCAGTATCTTCAAAATCTTTAAATTTCGATATCAATCTGGACAAACCATATGCTTGTCTCAATTTTGTTGACTATAGAAATTCCATCTTGAAATCATAGTTCAACAAAATCGTAGTTCAACGCTGTAGTCTGTTTATAGTTTGTGTAGGAATCCCTTTCTCAGAACCAAAGATACTTAATAATGGATGATAATCAGTTAAGTATGAATTTTCTGAAGCATGGGCGACTGCTTTCATTGTACCGTCTTCGAATTTTATGGCCTATTACCGCTCCTATGGCGTATTCGCTCGCGTCCGACGCTATTATTATATTAACATTATAAATAATATAATAATTTGCTAATCCGAGAAATGATTGTAGGGTCCCAAATTTGTCGGGAAAGGCATGTCTTTAATGATACTTGCTCTAGCGATATCTGGTCTTCTTTCTTTTTCGTCGATTATCTGCCCTAAATATTTAATCTTATCGATAAAGAACTGTCATTTTTGTTCACTGAGTTTGAAACCGTAATGATGCAATCTCTGAAATACTTGTTAAATCAGTTTTATGTGCTGTATTTTCGTAGCGTTTTTAATAATTATATCATCTATACAAGCGACGGCACCGTCTAGTCCAACCAATATCGTATCCATTATTTGCTGGAAAATACCTGGGGCTACTTTTACACCAAAGGTTAATCTTCTAAACTTGTAGAGTCCTTTATGTGTATTAATAGTCAAATACTTCTGATATTCCTCATCCATTTCGATTTGAGAATATGCCTCGGACATGTCAATTTTTGAAAAAAAAATTACCACAATTTAATTTGGCAAATATATCTTCCGGAGTTGGTAGGGGATATACATGTGGTAGGAGGCAGTCATTAAAGCCAGTCGAAAAATCTGCACATAAACGAATCTTATTATTTTCTTTTCTAATGTAAACCGCTGGCGTAGCCCATTCTGAATAATCTATTTTTACAATAACTCTGCGGTTTTCTCACCTATTAAGTGCGGTGTTAATAGACTCCAACGCACCAAAGGGTATCTCTTTCTTTTCGGAATTTCTTTTTAATTTGGAGTAATGGTTAGCGGCTCGGATTGAGGAATCGGAGAGCTGAGTTCGAAATCCAGTGGAATCCATTACATTTACTTACGTGCTAATACCCTTGGAAAAGGGAATGAATCTTCTTCTCTCTACAGCTTTGGGTAAATAGCAGGACAACCATATTCTATAGACTTGGATGGCATCTGGTCTACCGCAGAAAAGAAATACTTCTACTGCGGGATAAAAAAAAAATCTGCCTCGTTAGTCCTGTATCGAAAGATACATGATCGCCTAAGCGTGTATCACGCATGGCTGACTAACTGACTGACTTTGACGTTGTACATTTTCCCAACTCCTTTGAGAAAATATTCGTGAATTTATTTTTTAGTTTACTTTAGCTGTAATCTTTTTTTCTGAAGAACAATTAAGTTTTACACAGAATGAATTAATCGGCCAATTTTATAGTTCAATGTGAATATGTTTCAAGTTTATTAAGTGCCTGAGTATATTTCGATCTGCCAAGGAGAGCTCTTTCTGTTACCGTAAACACTTAAATACACTCGTCAAAAATTCAAAAGCGACAAAAGTGAAATTTGAAACAATATAACGGAAGGCCAGCAACGGGAAGGAAATGAACAATATTAAGTGAAATACTCACCTGAAACTGTTAAAAATGATCATTGATATTATGAGAGTAATAATGGAAACCGCGTAGCCTGATGTGAAGACTGACATGACTGTTTCTGGTTGCTGAAAGAATTCAAAGCAATAAAATCAGATTCATGGAATATGTAATTCAATTAAGAAGCGGTTCGGTATTAACATTTCTTGAAGAGCTTTCTCGTTGTTTTTGGATTTAACTATACTTAGAATCGACACCAGTCTTTGTTGCACAATTTTACGTTTTTAGGTCCCCGTTTAACGTAGCTGATAATTAAACATACAGTAAAAGAGTTTTATTATATGAATTAGCGAAGTGAAAATGGTTTTGAAGTGAGATGTGTATCTACCTAGGAATCTGTACTACCTTTTTTTTTTCTTTTAACAAAACAATACAGCACGTTTTTAGCAATCCCATTTTTTTTCATTTATTTGGTTGATGCAAAAAGTTTCCATTAGTTTTTAATATTTTTTTTATTTATTCAATTTTATAACACCATTGTTCAATCATTAAAGTATTTTCTATAACATTCCTCCGCCTTTTAACTAAATTCTTGAACTTTGGCGTGACTAAGTTTTTGCGCATGTGCGAAATATGTAAATTTTATTGGCTTTCATCGCAAAATATATATTTCTGAGTTATTTCTATTTAATTTAAAAATTAACTCAGAAATATATATTTTGTTCCTTCTTTGACATTATTGTTAGTTGTAATAAATATTATTACTCCATTTCTGCTTAAATCTTTTCAAATTGTAACATACGATATTTTGTCTCACGAAATAATATTCAGTTTCATTAGACATATTAACAATGGTCGAAATTCCTTTTCTTTAATTTCGTTTTTTTCCATCTTCTCTGTCTCTAATATACACAGAGATAAAGCGATAGAGAAACACAGATAATGAGCTACACACACACACACACACACACACACACACACACACACAGAGAAAAGAAAATACAGCTAATATTAGAATGGAACAATCGAAGAGTAAACGAAGACATCAACATCGTGAAAGATATAAAGAAATAGGGTAGAAAGAGAGATGGAGGAATATATATATATATATATATATATATATATATATATATATATATATACACACACACAGCGTGTATCAAAAATATCATTTGGGCGGGTTCTTTATGCCAAAACAAGGACAAAAGTCCGCAAATCTTTCGTTTTTGAGTTATTATGTTTAAAGAAAGTTTACGGTAGATGGCGCTGCACATTTGTGGCTAGTCTGTCCTTCAACTTTTAATATGTGTAGTAGTGAGTTAACTGGGAAGTGTTCCATTTAACAATGGCAGGATATTCATATCTTGAGCAGGCTGATTTAGCCACGCGAATGGTAATGAACGCGAGGCTGCACGGCTGTATCAAGTTGCATTTCCAGACCGAAGGCAGCTGAGCCATCCAACCTTTGTTTTTTTGTCGTTGCATTGCTGGGACATGATCTGTGACACCGCAGTCTTGTACGCTTGACCACGAAGAACTCATTCTACAGTCTGTCAGAGACAATCCAACTATCAGCACACGTCGTGGCCCTAGCATGCCATACATCTCATAGTACCGCTTGGCGGGTACATCAAGAGCAGCTCCTGTATCCGTATCATTTGCAATGTGTGAAGGGTCTTTCGCCCTCTGATCACTCACCACGGGAAAACTTTTGTCGATTGTTTATTGCACAAACTACCGATCTTCAGATCTGTCTCTTCAGTTTTGTTTACGGATGAGGCGACATTTGGAAGAGATGAAATAATGAATTTAAACAACCAACATTTGTGGGCGGATCGGAATCCCCATGGTACAATACAGGCTAGACACCAGCATCAGTTTACAATTAATGTGTGGGCTGACATTGTAGGTGACTGTCTGGTAGGTCCATATGTTCTTCCAGCACGTCTAACAGGAGTTGTCTACAGGGGCTTTATTTTGAACACCCTTCCAGACATGCTAGAGGATGTACCCCTGCTAATACGAAGACGCATGTGGTTCATGCATGATGGGACTTCAGAACATTTGAGTCACATTGTTCGTGATGCACTGGCTGACATCTACCATGAAATATGGATACGTAGTGGAAGACCAGTTTAATGGCTCCTTCTCGACCGAATAATTTTTTAATTATTGTCCATTACAAGTTTCTATTCCTCTTTTGCATTTGTACTTAAAAATTAAATCAATTGAAATCTTTGATTAATGAAGGCAGCAAACGTCCCGAAGCCTGTATTTACATATAATAATAATAATAATAATAATAATAAAAATAAATATTATACAGTTCTTGTCTCCAATTTCATGTCGATCGTACAGTTCAGTAATTTTTTATTTCATAAATGATCTTAATTTCTGAACAACCTTAATAATTCTTCGTCCATTTCCCAATTTTGCAAACTCCAGGTGATCAGCAATGACCACATTCATAATCTAACTATTCGATTTTATGCTAAGTCCAATGATAACAATATAAATATTTCCCCAAGGAAATAATTTCCTTGTATTTGTTGTGATAAGTGGCAGGTGTTCGATTTTTGAGCCGAGAATAATGAACATTTCAGTTTTACTCTGTTGTGATTCCATTCAAACAGTGGATGCGGCCGACAGCTTGAGTGGACCCACCTTTTAGTTTATAAGAAAATACTATCTTTGAAATTTTCTGCTTTGAATGAATACTCGTGGGATTTGATATTTATCATTGTTGGTCTTTTGGTTAAGCAGAAGTCTATATGCCAATATCGTTTTTTAATGAATATCTTGGTTTCATGTTTTTAATAAATATTTTTGGGTCTAGTTCGTTTTTTATTTTAAAAAAATCTTTATTTTTTAAATAAATATCTTCTTGTATTTTTAAATAACTTCCCATTTTATTTCGAATATATCTTTGCTTTTAACTACGAAAAGCAACTGAAAAGTTCATCGGCAGACCAAGATAGTCTCATGGTAATGAGGTTTATTTTACAATGTAATCCCTCTTGCGGTCGACAAACCTCTTCCATCGGTGTTGCAATGCTTGTATGCCATTGTTGAAGAAGCTTTCATCTTATTGGTAAAAAAAAATGTCATCAGCAGCTGATATGACGTCATCATCACAGCGATGCTACTTTGTGGAACTGAAAGAGGATGCTTCTCCGGTCATTACAATTTTAACCTGTTCGTGTATATGGTTAACGGTTATCTTCCCACATATCCACATAAACTGTGCTTCTTACCCCCTATTCTGTAACCCTCTATCTAGAGTGGCTCTTGAGCCTTGTACTGGGTGAGCATTATTGTAAAATTGTGTTTATCCAAATTTCTTCGATTCTATCATGCTGCTGTGGAATGAATTCCCATTATTCACCAGGACAGGCGATGTTTTTCTTCTAATCAGTTTCATTGTGTAGCCTTTGACGTGCATAGCAAATAGGTTTATTAATTTTCGCAGAGTGTGATCATTTCGCACAACACTGCTCACTCGTGCTCTCTCGGCTGAAATTCTGTTGTTACCATTCTACTTGCGTGTGGAAAGTTATCTTAGAAAAACAACACAGCACTTATGTTTCCTTTCAAGCGGGGCTAATTTCCGTCTGTACGGACCTTTGCTAACCAACCGCCCGCTTGTCTTCCTTTACAAACCAGTATATCATTACATGACTGTCGAGTATTCTTGCGAAGGGTTTTTCAAGCTAAACTCGGTCGCTTGTCTGTTACACGTAAATCATTTTCAAGATGTTGCTTCTATAAGATTGATTACCTGGACGACAGTCTGCACGATTTTACTGACATGTTACTGTTAAATTTATCTTTTCATTATTCCTAATTGTAGAAGCAGTATTACTCCCAGTCACACGCTTGCCATTAAATGTATTTGTTTTTGTAGCATTCGGATATGGTTATATGGGTAGCGTCGCGGTTATCGGGACTTAAATCGCAATCTGTTTCGTTCACTTTACACTATTGTGATTGGGAAAGGCATAAGCCCATCTTTTCTCCCTGTCTTCAATGAAATATAAGGGTAGATTCGAATATTTAATCATGGGTGACCACTAGTCTGAGAAGGAAAATTCTGAATTTCTCAAGAAATCATAGCAATCCATATGTAATAAAGAAAATTAAACTATGGTGAGCCTTGATCGCTTCCCTCTTGGAAGAAAGATTGCATTAAAAAAAAGGAGATTAAAAAAATCAGTAGATTATAAAATTAACGCTCTGGCTAAAGGTATGAAACCTTCTCTTTTTCTACCTTGCTATAAGTTAAATAACAGGGTAGACTGGACTATAGTCATGGGTGGCAACTAGTCTGGGAGAAGGAAAACTCAATTTTCAACTGTAGAGACGACAACAGGAAACTACTCCAGTGTCTTTCTCAAGAAGTCATGGGAATCTACAGGCAATAAAAGATTTGGATGGCCAAATGATAAAATTAGTGCCCTTGGGACAGGCAGGAAGCCGCCTCTTTTCCCTCCATCTGGAGGTTAAATAGTATAGTAGACTGTGGTCTCTAGCCTTGATTGGCAGCCAGTTAAGAGAAGGAAAACTTTGAATTTCAAACCGTGGAGAAGGCAACTGAAAACCATTATATTTCTCAAGAAGACATGACAATCCACATGTAATAAAGAAACTTTAATTGTGGAGAGCCATGATCACATACGTACTGAAAGGATAATAGCATAAAAATATTCGGATCACTATTTGTTGAGCTTCGAAGAGAATTATGTCGGTCAACCGGCGTATTATAAGGAAATATCGACAATAAGAAATGTCTGAAGAGCAAATTATCTCTCATCTTATTTATTTGATTTAAAATTCCCATTTGTGTAAACATTAGACTTTTTTTTATCAATTTCATTTTTATTTTATATTTCACACAGCTTTCTATAGTTCAATGGTCTTTCAAACCGTTTCATTACCAGTGGATGTTCAGTAATCTTGGCCATTTATTTGGACCAACTGTAGATAAATCTATATAATATAAAAAACCCGATCTATTTCAGATGTTTGAGAGCCTCAAGACATTCTCGTGTGATCCTTGTTGATCAGAAAGTTCTTTAATATCTCTGTAGACTATCATACCTTTACTCAGTATTGAAAAATAGTCTCACTC